TTTTAAATTATTACCATTTACTATGTCTATGGTATAAATATGAGACAATACAGAAATGTGTTTAATATCTAATTGTTTACTGTGATGCTGTGTATTAAAACACAAAAGCCTGTGTGAAGATGCAAATTAATGGATCATTTTTCATCGGTTTTTTGTTACATTGCTGGTCAAAATCAATCCATCCATTCATCAGTTTTTTTCCATTTATCAGGCCTGGGTTGTTCAGCAGTTAGGCAGAAATTTGTTTTGAGGGTCACTGTGGCGGTTAATAATGCAGCAAGTGTGGGGCAATCACTGATTAATAATGAATGTGTGGCAGGTTTTCTTCACAGTGGGATGACAACATGCTAATCACAGTAACACTTAAACCTTGATGTACAGAGGACCAAACATACGAATGCTTTGTCATACGTTTACATTTATGTCGAGGTTTTCTTTCTACTAAGTGAGTTTTGAGGCATGAAATGAATCAGTCCTGATTCTGGAATAAAAAAGAAGAAATAAACTTATCTGGATCTGTGAAACTTACTTTAAGTGAATTTTCAGCAGGGCAGCGCTGATGAAAATCAACCCAGCTGTAGAAATCGTTTGATTTTGCCCTTGTTTTAAAGTTAAATACTAAGTCTCTTAAAACTATATATTTATCAAAAACCATTTAATTATTCTCAAAAATTAAGTAAAGCTTCATCAATAATTCAGAATAATTTCGAACTTCTAACTTTGGGAATGAATTTAGTCTATTTGGGGAAGTTTGAAGCCTTTTTCTTTCTTCTAATATGAAGTGATGAGTTTGGTTTAGGTTCTTAAGACTAAATAAGAATTTTACTAATATTCCTTCCAATCTTACAAAGATATTAAATCTGGGGTACTTTTAGCACTTCTGTATCAATTGGCCCAAATGTCACAAGCCAGACTTCTTATGGTTCATGACAAGTGTAGTGTGGGCATCTGTGGCCCACGCTACACTTGTCAAGGAGGCGAACTGGCAGATGAGTTGCAGCAACCAGGCTCTTAATTGCTATCTGAGTAGGTATGGCCATTTTTCACTTTTATGGGCTAATTCCCCAAATGACAAAGAACTGATCATGAAAACATTCATTCAGGATTAGCTTCAAATAATTGTTTTTCTGACCTTAATGTGACATTTTTTTACTGTTTCCATTGAAAATTAGAGGTTTTGCTGAATAAATAATAACTGCCCTTTTTTGGCCTTTTTTCGGCAGGGGGAACATGAATGGCCTCTTCATGTGGCTCGCCTTTATCAAAGCTGGTATCACTTCCGCTCAACAGTGGCTGTAAGAAACCAAAAATTATTAATTTTTCTTCTATAAAAGACCTACATTTCACTGGTTATGAAACCTTTAAGACACACAGTCCTCTTCTTGCTGCATGAACATGAAAACACTATTTAAACAGTCCTCACTTTTACTAAGAACATTGATGGAAACATTAGTGTTATAAAACATTTTATTTTATGTTGCCTGTCATAGAAATTTTCATTATTGATGTTATTTATATAAATATTTTCACAGAAACATGGATCCTACAGACTGTTGGGTTATATAATGTATATGCTTATCAATGTCTTTCTTCAGGGTCAAGCAGACTGCAGTACCAACTATCAATACGCGGGGGCGCTCTTCACAGACTACCACTTCTACTTCTACAGACACTGCACGGAATTTTAGAAACACAATTACAGACAAATTACAAAAACATGTTTATGGAATATTTGCTTTATTTCTGCAAAGATGACAATTAGAGAAATCCAAGCATGCTCTAATCAGTTTTGTTTTGGGGGGTTTCGTGGGGTGGGGGTGGGGGGGTGGGGTGGGGGGTATGTTTATTATTCTAGAAAAATGGCTGGTTAATTTAAAAACAAAAAACAAAAAAAACCGACAAGTTGAAAACATTAACTTTGACATTGTATTATTTAATGTATTTTACTCATATCTTTGTTTTATGCTAACTTTTACACAGACTGGCAAACATGGAAATGCCAAAAATAAAAAACATTACAACAACCCATCTTCCAATCAGAGATGGGATTTACTGTGACTGGAGTTCAGACAGGATAAGTGTAGGCGCACATGCGAGGATCATCGAGATTTAAAAAAAAAAAAAGAAAGTACATTTCCGCCATGTGAAAATTTGTTTTCTATATGCATTTTTAAATTGTCTATTTTTCTGCCTTTTCTCAAATATTTGTTTTTGTTTTTCTTTGATATGAACAGTTTTACCTCCTTGTGTGTGTGAAACTGTTAAAATGTAGATAGATATAAAAAATCCTTATATACATACGACATCCCAGATGAGAATGAATGAATAATTTATATTAAATACTTTGTTTCTTCACATAGTTGAATGTGCTGACATAAAAAGACAAAAAAATCACACAAAATTTATCAATGGAAATCAAATTTAGCAACCCATGGAGGTCCATATTGTGAGTCACGCTCATAATTAAAATTTGAAAAAAAAAAAAAAACACACTGCAGGCTGATTCAACTTTGATGTAATGCCCTTAAAACACGCCAAAATGAGGCTCAGTAGTGTGCGTGGCCTCCACGTGCCTGTATGACTTCCCTACAATGCTTGGGTATGCTCCTGATGAGATGGCGGATTATCTGTTGAGGGATCTTCTCCCAAGTCCTGGACTAAAGCATCTGCCAACTCCTGGATCGGGCGGGACATGATGTCCCAGATATGCTCAATTGGATTCAGGTCTGGGGGAACGGGCGGGCCAGTCCATAGCATCAATGCTTTCGTCTTGCAGGAACTGCTGACACAAGCAGACAGCAAAACATTCTCCATGGTGTCTCCAGACTCTGTCACATCTGTCACATGTGCTCAGTGTGAACCTACTTTCATCTGTGAAGAGCACAGGTCGCCAGTGGCGAAGATGCCAATCTTGGTGTTCTCTGGCAAATGCCAAACACTCCTATCCTCCTAGTTTACGCATACAAAATGCAAATATGGCCATAGGGTTAACTTGTCTTGGTTTATAACTGTAATTATCATTTCCTAAAATAATAAAAGTTCATTTTAAATATTTAAATATTATCTATAAACCTAACCAAGGAAATGGCAGAATAGCTTGTGATAAAAGACCGAAACACCCTTTGAAATTGAGGCACACAATGATGTGTCCTGTTGGTAAAGTTTCCGGGCTGCCATTCCTCAAGACTTTCACTATTTGAAGCAATGTTTTATCAGGGATTGTAACTCTTAGTTACAAAATGATTATTGAATTATTTAAATATAATGTTAAGTGTTTTTGGAATTCTTAGGTTTTATATTCAACATTCAAGTTTATGGGGATGTGCCACTTTCTATGCATTACCATAGTGTAAATGTGGTCCTGACTTCAACCTGTAATCAAACCTTGTAATTACTGACTTTCTATATTGCACCACTATTGGGTAAAAAATGTAACTTTATGTTTACGGCCAGTTTTAGCTTCACAAATGGGCTCCTCCATCATAAATCCAGCGTGCAGTGTGTATTTACTCTAAAACAAACTGGTCACATTTTGTTGGGAAAAGTGTTTTCCTCTTGAATTCTACGAGCTCAGAGGTAAAAAATGCAAAACTGAAAGTTTCCTACTTGAAAGATGGAAACATGCTAACACAAACATCAAGGAGATGCATTCAAAATTATTAAAGTAATACAAATTAGAAACATCCTATCTCAAAGTGATGCTCATGCTTGCTCGCGTATTTATTATTTCTAGGCTCGACTGCTGTATTTCATCAAAAATATGTAGAGGCCACCTTTAAAAGTCACTGAATGATTCAAAGTGCTGTATGTATGAACATAATTTTTTAAGAGAATCTGGTTTCTTGACCATGTGAGTTCGTTCAGCAGAAGGCACACACACACAAACACACACACACTGATGACTAATTCAGGTGGAGGAGGTGCAGCAGAAACACCAAGCTAATTAGGCATCTGAGTGAACCAGCTCAGCTGCACAGAGGAAGGTAAAGTTGCAGGACAGAGACAAAGCAAAGGACCAAGATGGACTCTCAGCACATTGTAAGTATCTGCTGAGTTGTTTTTCTTTATTTAAATACATTATTTGTGGTTACTAAAAAAAATGCTGTATTGAACATTATTTTTTAAAAATTATAAGGAAAACAGAAAGCCTAAGCTCTCAGTTGCTGCATGGGTCCATTGACTTTTGATTTTGATACTGAATGCAGATTGAATTAAGTGAGTTTCATATCATAACAGTTAGTTAAAATGATGATTCCCTCTATTAATAAAGGAAAAACATAATCCAAGCCTATCTGGTCCTGAGTTAAAAATCACGAGTTAAGTGTGATCAACCATATTTGTTTGGATAGCTGAGTACAATTTCATTAGTCACACTTAGATTAGATTACTTAAGTAGAACCTGTGTGACAAAGTGAAGTAGGTTTAAAGATCTCAAAAATCAACACATTCTGTTACAATCTAAACAGCTGAGAAACAAAGTGTTTGATATCTATCAGTCTGGAAAGGGTTACAAAGACCGTTATTCACAAATCAAGAAAACATGGAACATCTGTGAACCTACCCAGGAGTGACCGGCCTAGCAAATGTAGTCTGAGTGGATCAATGCCTCATGCAGGAGGCCATGACTCAATAATAAAAGAGACTGGGCAAAACTGGCATCCATGGGAGACTTCCATGGAGAAAACCCCTGCTGACTAAAAAGAGCACAAAGCCTTGTCTGACATTACCAAAAAGCATCTTGATGAACCCCCAAGTTTTAGGGGGAAATATTCTGTGGACTGATGAGACAAAAGCTAAACTTTTTGGAAAGTTTGGCTTACATTAAATCGGGAGCAAAACTAACACAGCATTTCATAAAAAGAACATCACAGCCGCAGTCAAACATGGTGGTGGTAGTATCCTGGTCTGAGGCTGCTATGCTACTTGAGGACCTGCATGACTTGTTGTAATTGTAGAATTCTGCAAAAACGATTGGGCCAAAATTCCTCCACAGAGATCTCAAAGACTTATTGACTGTTGTCACAAACGCTTGATTGCAGTTGTTTCTGCAAAGATGGCCCAACCTGTTAAAATTTACATCTACATTTTGCATATTTAACACTACCACTTTGTAATGTATATTACACTGATGGTGAGTTCATACAGACTGGTACTCAAAGGCCTTGGGTAACAAACAAAAGCATCAACTGAGGGCTTGTGAGGTCATTCAGGACTGGAGTGACCTCTCTGGGTTAATTTGGTTGGACCAGTGAGGTAAATCTACACAAAACAAAAAAGACAAAAACCAGGTGTAGCGTTCCTGAGCCGATATAACCACCTAATCTCTACTCTGTGTGTGTGTGTGTGTCTGGTGTCGTCTGTCAGCCCGGAGACTGATGGACAGATGTCTCCTGTCACCACGGTAACTGACTGTCTCCTTTTTTTCCAGGCTTCCGTCTGTCCTCTGACAACATGTAATTAACTGACACTCTACCCTCTGTGTGCGTG